GGGTTTGCTGGAAGAGGAAGCTTTCCAGTGCCTGATAAGATTGCTAAAAGCCATGGTAAGTTTCCATGTGCCTACATGTCCGTGAGTCTACATGTCTATGCACCTATGTGTCCGTGTATGTATGTTGGGCTGTGGTCATAGGGAATTTGAGGAATGTAATCTTGAAAACTTGTTCAGACCCAGCTTGGCTTTCTATGTGGCAACCACCTATCAGCACCCCTTCCTTACTTGATATCTCCCTACTCATTTCTGCTCTTTCTTTTATAAATTGTTTTCAGCAGTGGGAGGATCTGGAAAGAGATGAGATGCTTCTCACTCATGACTCTGTGAAACTTTGGGGTGGGGAAGAGGAGCATTGAGGACTGTGTTCAAGAAGAAGCTCTCTGTCTTGTGGAGGAACTGAGGAAAACCAACGATAACTATTACTCATCACAGACTTCTATCTTGTTATTAGGTCCTGGAGACGTTTTGAGGGTGGCCAGAGCTTTCATTCTGTGTTCTGGTTCAGTCTTCACATGGAAAGTGTGATTTGTAGTTTTTAAAAAAAAAGAGAGAGAGAGTTTTTATATCTGTAATTTTTGTTTTATGATGGGATTCTGTCTGTTGCAGAGGGTCTAAATCATCATTTAAACTAGATATTTTCTAGCTGTTTTGTTTTTTAAAAAATGACTATATGAATTTAGGTTTTGAGCTCAGTTTTGATTATTTACACAACAATAATTTCCCTCAGCATAAATATGAATTTCACTAGAAAACATTTGATATGTGAATATAATGGCAATCACTGCATCACACTTGTATAGAACAGTAATTAGATGGTATAACTGTCTTTACTTGGACTATATTGAACAACTGGCATATCTCAGGTCCATGCATAAAGTTCAGGTGGATGTTGCTGTGTAACAAATTTTTTTCTTTGCTATATTTTAATAAGGATTTATCAGTTCATTCTCTTTTAAAAGCATAGCATAATTTATATAAGACAATGAATTATTTCTAATCCTTTATTCTATTGATTTATATTTTTGAATAAATATGTTATTACATGATTCTACAAATTAATATTCAGTTTTCATTAATATATATAACTAGGCTTCACTATTGGCTCCATCTTCATTTATTTATCTCATCTCCCTCTGTTTGTTGTAATACATTTGTTTGGGGTAATACATTTATGACAATAGTTGTCTTCTTTCACTCTCAAGTTTACAAACACTTGAAATACTTCTCACAATGAAACATGACCTTGTTTAAATGCCATCTTTCAAATTAAGTGAAATAAAAGGAAGAAAGCCAGATTTCTTCTCTGAGTCACACACACATGCCCAGTCTCATGTATAGTCCTAGCCATTTACCCATACCCATGAATATTATACACTTCTTAAATAAACTCCTTCCTTCTTTGACATAATAAAATATGTATTGATAGAGCATCTCCATGAGAACTATAATGTTTAAAAGCACTTGACATCCAAACAACTAACACAATTTCTTATTGTCAATGTCTTAGTATTTATCCAAAGTACTTTTGATTCAAGTTATTTTTATTTTAGGTTCTATGGATTTGAGTTTTGTAAGTGCATTCTATATAAAGTGTAATCATTTGATTTTAGTAATTTGGTTACAGAGGCCTCCTCAAAGAATACAGAAATGGTAAGATGTAAGGAATTTAGACGATGATGGACAACATGTTAGTTACTTCTCCTGTTGCTGTAATAAAATACCTGACAAAAGCCACTGAAGGAAAGAAGAGATTATCTGGGATTCTCATTTCTGGTTTTAATCTATCGTGTTGGGATGTCACAGAAGGGGAGCCTGAGCCAGGGAAGTGTTCTGGTCACCCTGTCAGTTCAGTGAAAAGAGGAGGATAAGAATGCTCCTGCTTGCCCAGCTTCCTTCTATTTATGTGGTCTAGCAGCCAAGTCTAGGAAATGGTGCCTCCCTCAATTAAGACAGATCCTCTCATCTCCCTGACATGTTCATAAGCCACTATCCTTGGTGATGCTGTCAATCAATATTAATCATCACAGGCATTTACTTCCTTTTAAATTAGAAAATCAGAGTGTGTCTAGACATAGAAATGAGAATTAAAAATTTTATCTATTCCCTACATCTGTTTGCTTTCTTTTGGGAGCATATTTCAAACAAAGGTTCTCATCTTAATTTTACCCCAAGAAATCCATTTTATAATTAATGTTTATTTATACGATTTTCACTTCACATAAATAGATGTGTTTCCTTTTCATGTTAGTTTTCTGAATGCATGAACTTAACACAATCTCTCTGTCTATTTTTTTATGTTTTATTCATCCTATTTTTAATCTCTCCGTGTTTTTTATTTATTTATTTATTTTACAACACCATTCAGTTCAACATAATAGCCACAGATTCCCCTGTTCTCCCACTCTCGCCCCCTCCCCCTCCCCCCACCCCACCCCTCATTCCCACCTCCTCCAGATCAAGGTCTCCCCCGAGGACCGGGATCGACCTGGTAGACTCAGTCCAGCCAGGTCCAGTCCCCCCTCCCAGACTGAGCCAAGCGTCCCTGCATAAGTCCCAGGTTTCAAACAGCTAACTCATGCAATGAGGCCAGGACCTGGTACCACTGCCTAGCTGCCTCCCAAACAGATCAAGCCAATTGACTGTCTCACCTATTCAGGGGGCCTGATCCAGTTGGGGGCCCCTCAGCCTCTGGTTCATAGACCCACTCTCTGTCTATTATACTCTACTGGCTAAAGACATGAGCCTTTCAACCCCTATATATAAATTCCTACATTCCTATCATTCTTTCCTTTTCCTCTTTTTTCGGGGGGAGATACTTTCCCTCTTCATTTTTATCTGTTCTTTGAGAAGTTTGTACAGTATATTTTGATTATATTTACACTCTCACCTCTTCCCAGATCCACCTGCCTTCCATCCCCATGCATGTTTGTATCATATTGTTTAGAGGCTTCACAAACAGACGTGGATCTCCCCAGAATTCTTGAATTGCTGAAGAATTTAAAAGTCCAATTTTCCCCTCCCAAAACAACAGACCCCTGGGGTAACAGGCCAGTCAATAAAAGTAGAAGATGAAAACTGAGTATACTCAATTTCATGATTTGGAAAAATGGCCAGATCACTGAAATCATATTAAACATAAAAATGATGCACAAATGTAATGCATATTGTTATGTCTAACAGGCTGTCTGTAAGTCTTGCTTAAATTGTCATAAGTTCTTTTACTTGTTAAGAGATGCAGTGTTTTACACACATATATTTCAGTAGCATTTTATAATTGTTCCCAACTCTCCAGGCTCACCCTGTGATCCCACCTTCATCCTGGGCTGTGCTCCATGCAATGTCATCTGCTCCATTGTTTTCCAGAATCATTTTGATTATAAAGATCAGGATTTTCTTTCCTTCATAGTCATTTTAAATGAAAATGTAGAGATTCTGAGTTTCCCTTGGATGCAGGTGAGCTCAAGCTTCTTCTTAAAAAAAAAAAAAAAAAAAAAAAAAAAAAAAAAAAAAAAAAAAAAAAACACTTAGAGATAAATGCTCCCTGAAATTCCAAAAATTCTTTAGAAAAATTTCTCTAAGCTAGAGGTACTGTGGAATAATGCTTTTGTACACTGGTTTAATAAATGCTGATTGGCCAGTAACCAGGCAGGAAGTATAGGCAGAACTATAGGCAGGATAAGCAGACAAGGAGAATTCTGGGAAGAGGAAGGCTGAGTCAGGAGACGCCAGCCTGCTGTCCAGGGAGCAGCATGTAAGGCACACAGATAAAGCTAAAAAAACATGGTGACATATAGATTAACAGAAATGGGCTGAGTTTAAGTGTAAGGGCTAGTCAATAGTAAGCTGAGCAGTTTTAATTAATATTCACCTCTGTGTTTATTTGGGGGATGCAAGTGGGAGAGATTTGTCCTCACTGCTGGCAGGCTGGGACACAGAAAAACTTTCACTACATGGAGGTGCTCCTCAGCTCATCTCTGTTTCAAATCTATGCCTCCTTTAATGCTAGATAACACTAAATGCAGGGGCCTTTCTACCTCCTCCCTTTATGGCCACTGTGCTGACCATTATGTGGACTTGCATGTACTTTGAGGACTCTATTTCTTTCTTACCTGCATTGTGCCTGAAAGATTGAAACTAGGACAAAACATTAAAAAATCTTTCTTATTAAGAACATACAGAAAAGGTATTGATTTTTATCTCTTCAAATTCATCCTAATAAAAACTTAAGTCATTGCCGGGCGTTGGTGGCACACGCCTTTAATCCCAGCACTCGGGAGGTGGAGGCAGGCAGATCTCTGTGAGTTCGAGGCCAACCTGGGCTACCAAGTGAGCTCCAGGAAAGGCGCAAAGCTACACAGAGAAACCCTGTCTCGAAAAACCAAAAAAAAAAAAAAAACTTAAGTCATTCATAAGATTGTTATGAATGTACCTGAATGAATTCAAGTTAATCATGTAGTGACCCTCCCACTAAGTTCTTTCATATAAAATAAATGGATCTAAGATTCAGAAAAAAATTTTAAATGTCTTAATGATTTTGTGGGATCATCAAAGAAGTATATTTCATAAAAGGTATTCCCAAGTGCCATGTTCATGGTAACATTAACAAATGGAAAGAAGTCTTATCAATGTGGGATTCTCTCACTGTTTGAGCTTTTATTTCCCTTTTGAACATAATTTTTCTCATTCAGTTCCAAACCTGAAATAATTATTGGTGACACCCAGCTAAAGAGCCTTCCATCTCTTGCTCTTATTCAGGACATAACATGATGAAGAAACAAAGGCACTTTGGAACATTTTCTTAATCCATTTTTACCTGCCTTATGAACAAACAGAGGACAGATCATCAGGGTGTGAGGGAACATACATGGAATCCCAGCATGTGGTAAACAGAAGCAGAAAGATGTAAAATTTAAGGTCATGTTCAGCTGCATAGAGTTTGAGTACAGCCTGGACACCATGAGACCATATCAAAAAAAAAGGAAACTTTAAAAACTGACCAGAATTATAATGCTTTTATTTAAGACACACAAGGGCTAGGTGATGCTGAACTTCACCTCACATTATAATCATTTTTTTTCAGTTTTAGCTTTACAGTAATATATATTAATAATTTGGCATGAGATAAGAGTCAGCAATGCTAAAGACAATAAATCATTGCACAGCATAAGGAATTGCAGATGTGTTTGGGGGTGACCCTAGAAGTTAGCCAGAATGGAAGACAGGCATTCCCTGGATCTTGAGGAGATGAGTCAATGTGAGATGGGAGGCCAGGGAGACACGCCTGACAGAAGAGGTCAACTGTGTCCTGGAGGAGGAGACTACAGAACGAAGCAGGTGGTGTTCGTTCAGACTGGGATGAAGCAGATCTGGAACTCGGGTGGCACAGACACAAATCCATTGGCAACTGCAGTGGTGTCAAGGTCTTTTGGGTCAACTGGAGACTTCAGATTAAAGTTCTGTAAAATGGTGGTCAGGAATAAAAATAGCTCCATTCGGGCCAGGCCCTCTCCTACACAAATTCGTTTTCCTGCAAATAAGAAAGAATATGTCTAAAGAATACATATCTATCAAGGAATTTCATACTCAGCTCCCCAGGAAGCAGTCAAAGAGATCCTGGATAGATTAATTACTTTCACTTAAAAAGGTGGGCTTCTGAGTTCTTATCTAAAACAAAGAATGGGCAGACTCTTACCCATTTGCACAACTGTTTGGAGAGACTTTCAAAGCTCCTGGCAACACGCCTCTTTGGTAGAACTACTTAGCTTTCTAAGTAGTTTTTCCTGTCTTTGTCCAAGTTGATCAATCTGATACTGTAGCCTAAATCAGCCTATTCTGGTTTAGAGAAAGGTAATCCGTCTCTTGTTCCAATCATTTAAGAACCCTTCAGGCTGACTTGGAAACCAACTCAGGTTCCCCATCCCATGCAGAGAGCTGGTTTCTTTGTGTATTCTGCTATATGGTGTATGTGGGTTTTCCCTTGCCATAAAATTTAGATGAATGTTGTCATTATGTCTTTTATGTCTTTTAATTCAAATGGGCAAAGACGTCAAATCCTTTCTTGTACCCTTAAATGATATCATAATTATTAGACAAATAATTGGAGAGATGGAGAAATTGACCATTGGGTGGATAAATGGAGAAAAAGTGGAGATATTTTCTCCATATTTAATATTAGCAAATATAACATTAAAATATTTAGGTAATAATTTCAAGATGGTGGAGCAGCAACATGAAACACTGTAAGTCTCATCCACAGGATGGAAACAAAGGAAGACATAAATAATTGCCAATGGCCATGAGTGGCCTTGGTGGGCCTTGGGAAGTGATGGTGTGAAAAGGAAAGCTGAGTACTCCAGAAAATGTGGGAAATAAAGAAAATAGAAGCAGAGTACCTCTGTTCCCAGGACCAACACCTGAATAAGGAAGGGACTCTTCCCTCAAAGGGGATAAAGGTGAAAGAAAAAGAGACATAGCATTGTACTGAAGACGGCACCATACAGACAAAATAGCTTAAATAAACAGGTGGCTAGCAGTCTTAATGATCAGAAAACTTTATCAAAACCCTCATGTGTCTCATAGCAGACACTCTAGCCCATGGCTATCTTAACAGATAAGTCCTAATTATAGGAATTAAATTACTCTGGAAGTTAAGAAATCTGACGTCACCACAAGCAAAGTCCCCATGGATACCCCTCAACTGTGACTGGGTAGGCAGTGGCCACCTGAGACAGTTGCTTAAGGAGAATCTTTCTTTGGCATAAACCTTGCTGTGGTTTGAATACAAATATAAAATATTCTTTAAAGAATAATGTGTGGTGGTATTGTATTCCCCAAAATATTGTGCACCCTAATAAACTTATCTGGGGTCAGAGACAGAACATCCACAATATTAAACATAGAGGTTAGGCAGTGGTAGCACATGCCTTTAATCCTAGCATTCCAGAGGCAGAAATCCATGTGTTCAAGGATACAGCCAGGCATGGTGACTCATCATGCCTTTAATCCCAGGGAGTGGTGGTAGAAAGCAGAAAGGTATATAAGGCGTGAGGACCAGAAGCTAGAAGCATTTGTACTGGTTAAGCATTTGGACTAGTTAAGCATTTGGCTGGGTAAGCTTTCAGGCTTCTAGCAGCACAGTTCAGCTGAGAGCCATTTGGATATGAGGACACAGAGGTTTCCAGTCTGAGGAAACAAGACCACCTGAGGAATTGGCCAGGTGAGGAAGCTGTGGCTTGTTCTGTCTCTCTGATCTTCCAGTGTTCACCCCAATAACTGGCCTCCAGGTTTGATTTTATTAATAAGAACTTTTTAAGATCATGCTACAATAATGGGTTTAAACATTTGGTCCCCAGTTGGTAATACTGTTCTACAACGCTGTGGACCCTTTAGGAAGTGAGGCCTCAATATAGGAGGTCAGTGACTAGAAGTAGTCCCTCAAGTTTTATAGTCTGGCCCCACTTCTCACCTGCTCTCTTCTTCCTGTTCCATCATGATGTGGGAGGTCCCAGCTGCACTCTCCAGCCTCAAGGAAGACACCTACCACCCTGCTTTCTCTACCCTAATACACCATATGCCTTCAAAATGTAACCCTTTAAGTTGGTCCTTGACAAATATATGGTTGTAAGAACAAAAAAATTGACTTGTACAGAAAATTGATATGGAGGAATAGGTCTGTTGTGGTGATTAACCTCAGCATGTGATTCTTAGGAATTGCCTTGTGGGAGGAACATGGAAGAGTTTGTAGCTATAGGCTAGTGAAGCTCTAATGTTCGCTAAGCAGAGTTCAATATGCCATTCTGCTGGAAATTTCGAGGACTCTGTGAGAAATGACCTCAAGGCCATTCATGTCACATTTAAGCAAAGCATCTGGTCATTCCCTGTACTCCAAAAGTGTGAGTGAGCTTGGGTTGTTTGTAATGAGCTAGTTTGTTTGGTGGAAGAAGCGTCAAGACAGGATAGCATTTAGGCTTCATCGTGGCTATTGATCACACTTCTTATCAGGGTCCACAGAGAGAGAAAACATGGGGAACAGGAGCATCACAGAGTCTAACAAAGCAGACAAAAAAGATACAGACAATGTCGTGGCTGTGGAAGAGATTAGTGGCATTAAAAAGTAACCTTATACTCTGCTCTGGAACAACTGAGAAGGTGGCCTGAGGGCAGCACCCAACTCATTTAGGGATCTAATGCATAAAAATGCAGACTTATTTGAAAGGAGAAAATCTGAACTGAGAATGCCAACACAAGAGTTGCCAGCTCCAGGTTCCCTCTCCACCATTGCTAGGAGTCTTGTGGGTTCCTGAAGACTTTTCCCTAGCACTAGGTTTCTCCCTAACCCCATACTGGCTTACTCTTACCCCTCCCCAAACTCAGCCATCTCCATCCCCTCTACTCCCTGCCCCCGCCCCAGTTTATCCAGGAGATCTTAACTCTTTCCCCTTCCTGGAGCAGTCCATGAATATCCCTCTTAGGGTCCTCCCCTTTACCTAGCTTCTCTAGGGTTGTGGATTGTAGCCTGGTTATCCTTTACTTTGTGTCTAATATCCACTTATGAGTGAGTACATATAGTGACTTATGGAAGAAATGCAGAGTCCCACAGCCAAGCACTTGGCAGAGCTCCTAGAGTTCAGATGAAGAGAGGGAGGAGGGACTATAGGAACAAAAGAGGGTCAAGATCATGATGGAAAAAACCACAGAGACAGCTGACCTGAGCTAGTGGAAGCTCACAGACTCTGGATTTACACCTGGGTAGACTGCATAAGACCAAACTATGTCCTCTAAATGTGGGTGTCAGTTGTGTGACTTGATCTGTTTGGGGGGACCCTGGCAATGGGACCAGGACTTATCCCGGGTACATGAACTGGCTTTTTAGAGCCCATTCCCTATGGTGCGATGCCTTACTCAACCTTGATGCAGAGGGGAGGGGCTTACCCCTATGAGGAGTGAATGTGGGTGGGATGGGAGGAAGGGGAACAGTGGTTGATATGTAAAATGAATAAATAAATAAATACATACATACATACATAAAGTTGTCAGCTCTAAAACAATAGTCTAGAAAAATGTTTCTACGGGGTCCAAAGTCAGGAGTCACTGTATTCTTGATCCAAAGGGGCCTAGCAGAACAACCTGACATTATCACCTGTCTAGTACTAGTTTTGCAGACATTAATGATGCAAGAGAGTGGGTGTATCCATGGCTGGTGTTCATTGGAACCACGCTGTGTTGAACCAGCCCCACCCTTCACTGGCCCTGGAATGGCTGGTCCTGTCCCTTGCTGGTTATTGCAGCAGCGAGCTGGCCTTACTCCTCAGGTAAGAGCTCACACACACACACACCCCACCGGGCACTCCAGGAAAGATGACCCCACCCCTCACCATAAGCATGTACCTCACCTAGGAAGCACACTAGAGCTGACCTGGTCAGGGACACAGGTGAGCCATCCCTGAGGGCATGAGAGCAGGAAAGCTGACCCCGCCCCTCACCTCATCTGCCATGTGGTAGCATGGGTGAGAGAAAGATATCCTCCCTCCTCTCCCATTACCACCTGCGGCAGGTGAGAGAGCTGGCCCCTGGAGTCACAAGAACAGGAAGGAGAGCTAGCCCTGATCCTCACCGGCTGCAGTGCACTAGAAAGCAGCTTCGGCTTCCTGTCTGGGCAGCACAGTAGATGCCAGGTCCTTGGAACATCTACCTAGGAAACTTCAAGCCAAGAGTTCAGTCAATGTGAAACCCATTAACTTGTATAAGTAATAATATTTATAAAAAGAAAATAGTGAATATTGGCTTCATTAAAAGCAGTGACTTAAGTATCTCCATCCCACACAAGAACTACCCTTTTATATTTCATGTTCCCATCCTTAGAACTAGAAACATCCACACTGCTCATCTTTCCTATTCCCAGTCTGAGTTTTACAAGCTTTTCTTACAGCCTTCAACCCCCAACTGTCAGCTCCAGTGATATCTAAGAACCATGAGTATTCAAAAATTTTATAATTTTATTGCCTAAATGCCTATACTACATTCAAGATGTAGCCAAACATAATTTTCTCTTCCTTATCTTCAACATAAATAAAATATCACCCTCAGCAAGAATTTCTGAAAAATGGTTTTCTGGTTTTGTTTTCCTCAAGTGTGTCAAAATATGCATTCTTAAAAAAAGTTTTGGTCTTTGTCATCACAGTGACTATAATAAGAGATAAAAAGCAGACATCCAAAGTCACAATATCAGCAAGAGAGGCTCCATGGCTGGAAACTTAGCACACATCAGGTATAGAAATCCAAGAGTTTGCTCTCTGGGTCATGACTTGGGAAGGGTGTTCTGTGAGCATCACAGTGCATCCTGCCATTCTAGAGTTATTTGGAAGATTTTCTGACACCCAGGATGAGAAGCCCCAGTGTTGTTATGCATTACCTCCTTACAGTGCCTTGCCTGTTCCCCTTCTCTTGTTGCCTTTTCGGGCATCTCACATGTGTTCTCTGGGTTATCATCTTGCCTAGTCCATCTCATATTTTGCAGTGGAGTACAAGAAGCAAGAGATAAGCAAATTATTCCCTACAATTTTCACCTGCCTCCCTCTGGCAACTTGTGTTTCCCACCATTACAACTGTTCCTTTGGGACTGTAATAAACTGTTTGCTCTTCTGTTACCCTTCCTGAGTGTGATGCTTTTATTCTGTACTTGGGGAGACTTGTATCTGCCTAAAGTTGTGAACTGAGAAGCACCACAGAGAAGACATTGAATCATGCCATAGAGTTAGCTACCTTCCTCAGAAAAGGGCAATCTATCTTACTGTCTAGAAGACTTCAACTGTAGCTTTGTGATCATGTAAACCATAATCTAACCACATTATGGGCTAGCTTTGCAAATTTGGAAAGGATGGGTCAACACTCTAAAGTCCTTCTAATGTGGCTTATCAGTCAGTCTGTTTTGTCTCAGAGAAAGTATATGGGCATTGGGAGTAGTGATCTGATCATGTCTAAAGAGTTAATCTACAGTCCCAAGAAAAAGCACAATGTAAGCCTCAAGGAATGCCTACAAGTTGCCTTGTTGTATTGAAAATAAATTTTGATTACCTGTTGAGAAAGGAATAGAGTAGACACTTTTCTTAAACTTGCCATTCTCATCCAGAAAGTGTCCAGGATCAAACCTCTTTGGGTTGGGAAATTCTTTGTCATCATGCAGCATAGATGTCAGTGATGTTATTACAGTAGTACCCTAGAAATAAGAGGCATAGACAAGTCAAGTTTCCTAAAAAGTTATGGAGGTAAAAGGAACAATAGGTATCACATAGTTTAATTTTTTGATCTAGAGATGAGGAAACCATTACCAAACAAGAGCTGAGGCATAGCCAGAAAGATGGTGTGACAATCAGGGTAGGTAAATAGCTGGAGTCCAGTGGCCGTGATCTGCATTCAGTGCCTCTAGCAGCAACTGAGGTACTAAGAAATGGAATTATTTGGTGCCAACACTTCTGAGTCTGTTTTCACTATCAACAAGCTTAATTTAACACTGGTGTCTATCACACCCAGTGCTCTTGTTCACCACTGCTGGTATTGCAACATTCACATTGCATACTCATGTGGAAGTTTGCTTTTATACAGAAAACATCACAGGAATGTTTCATATACATGTCTGATATTGTTAAAAAAATCTTCTGGAATAATAGGACCCAAAAGTAATAAAAAACATTATTCAGTGCTTTCACTAACAAGTTTGGCTTGATTAAAAAAATATGGGGATTTTATTACATTTAGAACAACATGAAAAATAAAAGGATGATGACACAGAAATAGAATCATTTTGTGAGTCGGGACAGGACCATCAGTTCAGGCAAGTATAAAAATTGAAACTGATAGCACCATTGATAGGGAATAACCAGTCACTTTCTGATTGAAGACACAACTTCATTTACCTTTCTTAGGATACTCAATAAGTTGTTCTGATTTAGCCACTTTGGTTTTTGTATTTTGATATGACAAATGTGCCCATTGTGAGTCTGTTGAATAGATCAATAATATGTCTGTGGAAATGAGTGCAGTTAATTGCCTACTAGAATAATTTTTAAAATTGACAAGGCAGGGGCTGCAGAGATGGCTCAGCAGTTAAGAGCACTGACTGCTCTCCCAGAGGACCCCGGTTAAATTCCCAGAACCCACATGGCAGCTCACAACTGTCTGTAACTCCAGCTCCAGGGGATCCAACACCCCCACACAGGCATACATACAGGCAAACCACCAATGCACATGAAATAAAAATAAATAAATTATTTTTTTAATTGACAAGGCAGGTCACATATAATAAATGACTGACAACCTAACCTCTTCTTTCCTTCATTCTGTTGTTTTGTTTTTAAAAGAAAGAAAGCATGAATTTGGGTTGGTAGGAAGGGAATCTGGAAAGAGTTGGGGAACAGAACAGAATAAGATAAAAATGTACTCTATGAATAAATAAAATAATTTTAAAAAATAAAGAATTTCTAAAAGTTGTCCTCTGACTACCACAGATGGCATGTACACACATACACACACACACACACACACACACACACACATACACACACACAAATGCATACATAAATTAATAAATGTGATTTTATAAAAATTCTTGTGGTATTTAAATATAGGTTGTATATTGTACAATATCATTTTATCGATGAGAACTGAGTATGAATGATATTAGTACTATGTACTAAAATAAAAGTTGTTACTGAAACATAAATACTGAAATATCAAGCTATAGATATATACATGTATCCATACATAGTTATAGAGGTGATAGAATATACTAGAGATGATAAAATTTACATATTAATTTATTTACATTTTAATTTAAAATACAAAAGAGAAAATTCTCATATATTTATTATACAACACATCTATAATTTTTATTTTATATTAAGTCACTTCAATGTTTTAGTGAACTAATGTAATTAAATTTTTTTCAGTGGAAAAGAAGTCATTTTCTCAAAATACCTGTTTCAAATAATATGAGGTTATTTCAAGATAATGAAAAAATATCAAGCTTGATCAATTCTCTGTACTAATTAACTTAATAATAGCTACTGAGCTATACTTAAAGCTAAAATAAGAATGTATCTAGAAGATGATGAGGAAAAATCATTAAGACCTGGTACTGACAAATATTTTTTCGGATAGGATACAAATGTACAGATCTACCTTAAGTAATTATAGAATATTCTGTTAGACGGTCATTCTAAGCATAGACAAATATTCCTTGTGCAAATTCAGTCTTTCACCTCCTTTGACTAGCTCAAGATCTGAGGATGTTTAATCAAAAAGAAATTTTGAAAACCATTTTTCATATGTCAAAAGCTATAGAGTTTAAATCTCAGTTTCCATTGCCAGTAATCACAGCCATTATAGACAGAGTTCACACACTGTCAGCAATTGCTTTCCTATTTCAGTAGCAAACTGTAGATACACAACAGAATCCCTGTGGCTGAGAAATTCTGAAATATGGCCAGTTAAAGTCAATATTTCTCTAATCATCTCTTAGTTTTCTCCCCTGAAATCAGTGACTCTAGTCTATAGAAGAATATGTCATTTACCTTATTTGAACATAGTAGAATTACCCACAGAATGTTTCTCATGTCTCTACTAGTCTTATGCCTGAAGAACATAAACAGATCATTCACAGGGACTCTGACTTTTCTGGACTCAAGGCCACAACACAGGATGATGAGCTACCAATGGCTTTCAGTTTGGAAGATGGCTACACTTTCCCCTATCAGATTCCAAAAGCTGGTGTTATCAGTCAGAGATGTTGGAAATCCCATTGTTTCCTCAATCTGCTTTCTATTGACTCACAATGGAGAAAAATTACTTTCCTTAATATTACTCTCAGTTTCAAATCTCAAGAAAAAGATATTTACTGCTGTTTATGCCTTTTGGTGAAAGGAGAGCTGATTGAAGCCCTAACCTTCATGTCAGATCTCTCACCCCCAGAGCAAGTCCATCACTTATTGCCAAACTCATTAAATGCTTATTCTTCCTGGGATAGCATTAGTAATTGCAGCCTTACCAACTTTAGTACTCAGTTTCTGATGGGATAGCATTAGTAATTGCAGCCTTACAAACTTTAGTACTCGGTTCTGATAACAATATAATTTTGTTTTATTGCATTATTAACATGAAATGTCCTGACTTCACATGGAAAGAGTAGCTTATCTGGTGATTTAAATGTACATATATAATCATAGACCATGTGTTAGAAAATATTGTTAGGATATAAAGACTAGGATTTGCATGAAAAATATAGCTCATAACTTTACAACCAGAATGCCTAGATAAATGCAGAAAGTATATTAGCAAGCTTTATAAATCTGTAGATTCAATTATTCTTGATATTTGGGGGACAAAAGAACATCAGGTCAGTTAATGCCTAGAGTTAACCACCGCTTCTAGTCATATCAATTCTGAGTCATTGACAAAAGTGTTACTTAATTCTGACTTCCTAGTGGAAAAGGAACTCTTTCTGGATGGGGATAATCATCCTCTGAAATGTTGCATTTTCAAACAGAACATTTGGTATTTTACTAAGTGTTGCTCAGAACTGCAAGGATATGACTAAGTGATCACAAGAGGAGTGAGGGAAGGCGATATAAGCAGATGTTTTTCAGGGAATAGTTTATACAGCTTCCTGTAAAAAACATCATACTCATATTTAAAAATACTAAAAAAAATTGAAGAATAAGAACAATGCACCAAAGTCTTTAAGTGGTAGAAAGAAGAGCCATGAATAGCATACAGCAGAAAAAATCCAACTGTGTGCATAGAAGTAAAATATGGACATTTGTGAGCAAAGTGCCTCCAATAAGTACAGGTCACACATGGATAAAGTAAATGAATTTGATAAAATTCTGGAAATGTTCACACAAAAATAGTCCTTTAGATATTACAGAACAGAGAAAATTTTCTTATTTGATAATCCACTAAAATTTATGTAAAGCATCATTCTCAGAAATAGGATAGTAAGTTTCAATACCCCTCTACAGAGTAGAAATGAAAAATGTATGTCTACCACCAACTGCGTCGAACTCTCTCCTGGAAATTCTAGTCATTACAATGTTGTTATTAGAAATTAGAAGCATAAGAATTAGGGAATATAAAATATGAAATGTTAATACGTTAATCCAGATGGCAGTAAAAAGCATCTCAAACTTGCAAAAGAACCTCAAGATAAAGTTATTGGCAGAGTAGTCACCTTCTCAAGGTTACTAGAAATAAGGTCATCACAATGATAAAAATCAAGTGTATGTTCAGGAATATTTAGGAGCCACTGCACTGAAAACAAAACATAATTAAGAATATAAAATAAGCCGGGTGGTGGTGGTGCATGCCTTTAATCCCAACACTCAGGAAGCAGAGGCAGGTAGATCTCTGTGAGTTTGAGGCCAGCCTGGTCTACAGAACAAGATCCAGGATAGGCACCAAAACTACACAGAGAAACCCTGTCTTGAAAAAACAAAATACATATATAAAGCTAAAGTATAATGGGAATCTAAACATTTGAATTGAAAGAGTTAATGGGGCAATGTACATATACAATACACAGTACATTTCTTATTACCCTGATTAAAAAGTACTAAGATTGGCAAGCTGGTCTTCTCTGAATATTCTTTTTAAAATCTAAGCAGCTAAGGGTGGCTAGGAACTATCTTTAAAGGAGAGCAAATTTGAAAGACATATAGAGACATGTTCTAAAGATTTTTAGACTCTTAATAAAAACAGCACAACATCCAGCTGCCAGATGTGAGGTGTTTACCTCTCTTTGATCTTACGTGGGAAGCAAATTAGAATCAATCACACTGTGAATCAAGATCAAGATTAAGGTATGCTAGAAGAAGGTATGTAGCATTAAGGTATGTAGAAGAAGGAAGCTTACCTTGGGAATGAGATAGTTTCTGAATTTAATATCACAGGTCACTGCACGGGGCAGACTGGTGGGAAGGAGGTCAATGTACCTCTGAATCTCATGCAACACAGCATCAGTGTAGGGCATGTGACTCCTGTCCTGCATGCAGGGGCTTCTGTGTCTACCAATCACATGGTCAATCTCTTCCCGGACTTTGGCTAGTTCAACAGAGTGAGAAATGACAGAATAAGAAAGAAATGGCACATTGATCACAACTCAGGCTAATGGAGCACGATGAAGGTACTCAGCAGCATTACGAATGCATAATACGTGCTAAGGAA